AGCAAAACTCCCTCAAAAACAAGTGAGAAGCCTCCGTAAATCGACAAGCCACGCCCCATGGGCGGAGCTTAACGTTTGCGGGCGTTTGAAAAAATTCTATCGTAGGGGACACTTTCTGAACACGTTGGAATCTAGTGTAAAAGACAGGGCTGGCCGAAGATCCGACAACTTGACGGCGCCGGTATCTCATCACGAAAACTATCGTATAAATTAATTGCTACCGTAAGATTTATCGAATTTCATCAATTTCCATCGATTTTCATCGATTTTTCCAGCTCTTCCTCATAAAAAACGAATATTTGTTGAAAATCGATTAAAAATGATGAAACTCGAAAATAAAGAAACATTTTCGCAATTTTCTTACGGTAGTTTTCGTGGTGAGATATCGGGGTTGTTAAGTTGAAGAAATTCGGTCAAAACTGACTTTTACAGAGATTTTTTCGCGGAAAAATAGTTTCTGAACAAAAAATATTCGGGAAAATTTTTTTCGAGAAATTATTTTCCGAAAAAACAACAATTCGGAAAAAAACCAAAGTCAGAATAATCTCCCGAAAACGAATTTTCCACAAAATAATTTTCGGTGAAAAATCGGAATTTCCGTTTTCCGAAATAGAATTCGGAAAAAATACCGTAATAAATTTTTGTCATAATCGATTTACCTTGAATAAATATCTAATCACAATTTTACTTCTCCGGGAAGATTGATAGGTGGGGATTCAGAAGTTATTGGGTGGATAGTTGTGTTGGTTCATTTGGTGGTGCATCATTCTGGAAATTTTTTTTGGTTTGAAGGCGGCGATAGCGAGAGAGAAAGAGAGGGGGGAGGGCGCAGTATTCTCTATGCCCCCTCGCCACCACTTCGATGTTGCACCCCGCGGCCAAGTGGATAGCGCTCTCGTTTTGAAAATTTGGGTCGCGGGTTCAAACCCCACCGGGGTCAAAATTTTTTGTTTTTTGTTTTTTCAATTTTCAACTTACTGGTGTTGCTGTTGCTGCATATTTTGCATGTTTTGTTGTTGTTGCATTAACATATTTTGCTGACTAATCTGGCGTTGCATTCTGGAAAAAATACATTTTTCAGTTTTCAGAAAAAAAAATTTTTGCTGGAAAAAAAAGCTCACTGCTGTTGTTGCTGTATCTGCTGCTGTTGTGGCGGAAAATTAAGGTGTTGAAGTGGTTGAGTGGCAGCCATGGGGCTAGGCACCATCGGATGGTTGAGCATACCCACAGAGGGTGGCGTGTGGAATTGTTGGGACATGGGGGACTGCAAAAATCGATATTTGGAATTTAAAAATTTTCAAAAATTTCGTGCTCCAATGAGCATTAAAACAGTGTTAGTGGACGAAAAATGAAAATTTCAAAAAAAAAAGTTAAAAATCATAAAAAAAATATTCTGAAATTCGTACCGGATGACTGGAAAACTGTGGACTCTGCGACACCATTGAACTATTGCTATGTGGTGTGTGCATTAGGGATGAGTTGTTCATTTGATGGGTGTTATTCACTGGTGATTGATATGAGTTGATTGGGAATTGCTGTTGCTGTACATTTTGTGGAGATGACTGGTGTTGTGGTTGTTGTTGGGGGAGATGCGATAAGGGTTGGGACATTGACATGGATCCTGGAAATATTGTTTGATAATGG